TGTAAACAATGTGCTTGGTGGTCGGTGAAAGTAATAAATGCCCTAGAGTTGCTGGTTAGAGGGACTAAAAAATTACCTAGTGCCTCTTATTAGATAAAAAGAAGAACAATGACCCATTGTTTGTGTCTGTGGAAGGAATTGTGCTCTATCATTGGTATCTGAGGGAGCAAGTATGGATTATCACTGGTGTCCATGGGAGGAATATTGCCCCATTGTTGGTAGTGTTAGTTGGAAGAATAGTGAGCAGTCAGTATTAATGGTAAAAATTGTGCCCCATTGTATATGTTAAGAGGGATAGTAGCTTATTGTTGGTGACAGTAGGAGAATTCTTCACCATCAGTGATTTAAGAGGTGGGAATTGTGCCCAATAGTTGATTTCAGAGGGAGGAATGGTGCCCCATAGTCTGTACTTGTGGGGGGGGGGGGGGATAGTGCACCATCGTTGGTGTCAATTGTAGGAAAAGTGCCCCATTGTTGGCATCAATTGAAAGAATAGTGACCCATTGTTGGTGTCAGTGGTAAGCATAAGGCCCCATTGATGACGTCAGGAGGAATAGTACCGTAAGGTAGCAATTTGCAAACTACTGCTGTTTTCAAAACTAAACAAGATTTCCATATACTGTAAGCCTTTCTTTTACTTCATATTTGTGCAACCCAGCATGTCTTTCCTGTAGCTGTGTATTTAGCCACTTACTTGGAGCTCATTTTTATTAGGAGTAGTAGAGTACATATTCAGGCTTATTCAAAGCAGGTTCAAAGAGTAGTGGTGCTGTGCAAAATACACGTACCTATTACAACGGATAGAATTCATATAAATCAGACAAATTAAGGATTAAGTTTGATTTGGTTCTTTGGGTTAATGCAGTTTGTCCATTGTCTTATGCTTACCTTATTAAATCCCGTTTATGCTGTCCAGCATTAAAGTAGCAGTCAAAGAAATTATTATTTCATCTGTAGCAATTGGTACCAGTGTGCTTTTCCATTTACATTATTGCCCGGTGGCCAGAATACTGGATTAGGTATTACATATCGGTACTGCTCTGGTAACAGTCGCTATGGACCGTAGTGATGGCACCATTGGTTCACTAGATAAAAGAAATACAAATGATAGTTATTTTTGATAAGCCAATATAAGCATATTTGCAAAATCGTATTTGCTGCCTATCTGATGGCCATCACTTTTCACAACTTTCCTGAATTCCTTCAAACATTTTAGCTTCTCATCTGCTCAGTCCTTTGGTTTACGTTCCATTTCTAAGGACTACATATCTTTGGTACCTTGCTGCCTGCAAGCAGATATGATGAGGTTTGTTTCCTGTACTGACTGTGCCTTCTGTTGTTTAAAAAGGCAGGCTCCGTGAAATGTGTGACACATCCGTACCGACTCGCAGGGCAGCATAGTGAATATGTGTCCCAGAAGGTAGCAAATGTTTGGGATTTTTGAAAAAATACGTTTTCAAACTTTGAGATTTCTCTGATTAATAGTAGTAGGCTTAAAATGAGTGAATTTTAATGCTGAAATGTATATATAATTTTAAATTGTGATCATAGATACACTTTAACGAACCCTAACGTGTGCTTAACGCATGCTTAAGTTGGCTCTTGGTCAATATTCTGTTGTTTTAGCACCCCTTAATCACTGTTTAGTAAACCTTAAAATACAGATGTAACTATAAGGAGAAGCTCCCTACATGTCTCCCCTTTAAATAGTATCCAATAAAAAAAGACTTGGGGTGAAGTGTGATACCCCTCTACACTATCTTAGTGGTAGCTGGAAGTGTTTGCTTTCGTTTTTCTTCCCATCTGTTCATTTTCAAATGTGGCTTTCCGCATTGTTATACCTTCATACACCCTTTATGTCCGGACAGTATGGTACTGCTGACTTGGCTCCATCCACAGACAGTTTAACTCTTCAATAAGACACAGAATTTGAATCCAACACAATTTTACTTTATCTAATTGCAGCACAGAGGATTTTTTTCCCAGTCTTTTGAATTGTAAGAGGACACTGATTCTTCTAAGGCCTGTCTCTGTGAAGAAGTAACACTTACTGAGCAATCATGGAAGAAACAGGGAATGTCTAACTACAAGCCCCTGTTCATACACGTGCGGGAAATGTTATAATCCCTGAGTGTTTCCTGCACCATACTGCAATGCACTCTGTTTTGCAATTTACTGCGGGTGTCAATTCAAAGTTAAGAACACCCTAAAAGCAGGTCGCAAACAACCATGCAGCCTGGTTCCAGTGTGTTCCCAAAAATGCTACAGGCACCTTCAGATGTGGTATGATTTGAGCCATTCAAAATGAATAGGCTCAAATTGCACTGCGCAGAATTGCATGTGCATTGTACAGGAATGCGGTGCGTTTACTGTGCGATTCACATGCAATCTATAGTGTAAACCTAGATTAAGTGAACTAATTAGCATTAAAAGGTAACTAAACCTAATAACAAAAATGCAATATAATGCAGGTTACAATCCTTAGATGTGCTGGCTGCCTTAGTTTTCTCTCAAGCCAAGGACATTTTCAGCTAATACAGAAGCTACCTGTTGATTTTTCCAAAAATGCAGTGTCAATATTACTTCCTGTGAACTACAGAGAAGAATATCTTCCTTCCTAGCCATCTTATACACACTACCAATTGACCTGTCCCCCATGTAATGGAGATGACGATATATGGACATGTTGTAGTCCATATCAGGAGAGTACCCCAGGGTGACAACCATGCCTACTTCCATAGATCAATGCAGCCTCCACAACCAGGACTAGTAAACTGCAATGTATTACATTTTTCATTTTGGGTTGAAATGCATTTTAGGAAGGTGGGGAGGACAGAGGGAGATACCGCATAGGTAAACAAGTTGTAGTGGCCCCTCCAAACCACCACTAGATGTCTGCATACATAGGAACAATAGCAACCTGACACAGTTCAATACAAGAACAGAAAATATATAAATAGGAGGGACCGAGCTCTGTATTGTGCTCCAGTGTGCAGACACAACTCAATTGCGATGACTGCGAGAGTTCGTTTTAAACTTGAATTCTACCTTATGTATTTTTTATGAAATCCTGGGACAAAAAAGCCAACTCATGTTTCACCAAAACTCCTCCAAATGTTCCCATTTTTCATTGGTGATTCTTAGTCAAATTCCTTTGCAGCTTTATGAATTAGGGCATTTTCACATGGTTCATTGATAATTCTTAGTAAACAAATAGGCATCTATTACTGTATCCACCATAACTGGTTAATTTTTTCTAGGAAATCCTGGAACAAAAAAGACAACTCAAGTTCCACCAAAACTTCTCCAAATTGTTGCATTGTTCTTTGCCAATTCTTAGTCAAAGTTACATGTTTACATTATACAGTATATAGCCACATTATATATATATATAGCATATATGTGCGTGGCCACATTTTATGGTAATATTAAATTATCCAATAAATAAACTTGAGTTACCCTAAGTATTTTTATAAAATCCTGGGACAAAAAAGCCACCTCATGGTCCACCAAAACTCCAAATTGTCGCATGGTTCTTTGGTAATTCATAGTCAAGGTTTCAGGTTTACATTATATACATGACCAAATTTTATGCTAATATTGAATTATCCGCCAAATAGGCTCCCAACTACTATATACTACTATACCCAACTAGTATCTACCATAACTGGTTTGTTATTATTATTATTATTATTATACAGGATTTATATAGCGCCAACAGTTTGCTCAGCACTTTACAATATAACGGGAGACAATACAGCAACAATACAGTTCAATACAAGAGGGTTTAGGAGCAGGGGCGGACTGACCATTTGGAAACTCGGGCACTGCCTGAGGGCCCAGGGTCAGTAGGGGGACCCATGAGATGCCCCTGGGACCTTTTTTATAGGCTTTTTTGAGTTTGGGCAAGGACACATGGGCCCCATAATCTACTATTCCCAGGGGCCCTATGAGTTGTCAGTCCACCCCTGGTTAGGGGCCCTGCTCCTTGGAGCTAACAATCTAGGTTTAGTATTTTTATTAAATCCTGGGGCAAAAAAAGCCACCAAAATCCTCTAAAAATAACACCCAGAAATGCATATTTTTGTCCTACCTAAATGTAGAACATTCCTAATAAAGTATGGCAAATGTATTTGGAATCTTGGAGTTGTAGCAGGAATTCACCTTCTTTAATTTCTGTCTCAACCGCCATCTTTTTTTTTTTATCACCTGCCTCCCAGGCAGAATCCACTCACTTCCATCTAATTAATACTGCTCGAATAGCACAGTTCACTGCCTTCACTCCTATACGTGTATGTTTTTCACCTTCACATCTTAATGGTGAGTTTGACAAAAGGCCCATTGGTGGCCTGCAGCCAGAATGCATTTCAAATACAGTGAGCCCAGTCTTGGAGATAAATTAAAAGTGATTAAAGACAGATTTTACTATAAATCAAGAAGACTGCTTTTTCACCCTAGATGGTGAAGCAAATATAGCCTGAAATTTACTGCTATGTTGTGTTGAAAAGTGACAATTGAATCTCCATCGTAATATTTTTTGCTAAATATTTATTACAGTAGAATGGCTGTGTGCATAAAGCTTTTGTGATTGGACATATTACGGTCATATTTCTTTGTTTTCCTCAGAATATTGATTGTTTCAATTTCAGGTTGGCTTTATGCTGCTAGGAGGGTGCTTGCCACCCAAGGATGAGTAATTTATTGCAGTTTTTAGCATCATCATGTCACTTCCTTTAGCATGTCTCCCTCAAGTGTAAACTTAGAGCCTTAAAAGAAAACTCCACTTTTGAAATAATAAAGTATATACACTTGTTCCATAAAACATTTTGTAACTGAATATTAATAACAATTATTCCACTTCAATCTGCAGCTGCTTTGTGTGTTCTGTTTTAAAGTGTTACTAAACCCACAACAGTAAAATCAGTCTGTATATGCAGTAAAGAATGCGTGTTATAGTCACTGTAGAACCTAAGGGGTTAATCCTCTACATTGTGTAAAAAGATCCTGACTTCTCTGCCCCTCCTCTTGTTCAAATGTCCACCTTATAAGACAGACTGACCCCATAGTCACATGCACATGCTCAGTTTGGTGTGTATTGCTAGAGAGGTTTATTTTTTTCTTGAGAGAGTGCATGTGATCAGCACAGGGCCAATCAGCACTGTCCAGACAGAGGGTCAGGGGTTTTGCATCCTCCTAGAGCAGAAAGAAAACTTCTCCTACAAGCTTTAACCAGTGCTCTGCTAAAGTCACACAACTGCTCTAACTGCTGATGAGAAAAGGTATTTAGCAGTTTATATTTACTAAAATAATTACTTACATGTTGTGTGTACTGTGGGAGACCAAATATAGTGAATGCTGGGTCTTGGGTTTAGTAACACTTTTATGTTTTATGCATCGACATACCTCCATAGACTTAGTCTGTCCAAACAGTACAGATCACCTGTCGACTTGGCACCATCCCCATGCAATTTAACTCTTTAATAAGACATGGAAGTTGAACACAATTTTACTTTAAATAAGTAAAGTACAGAGGACATTTTTCCATTTTTTTAAGTGTAGAAAGACAATGGTTTTCCTAAGCCTTTTCCCGGCTAAGAACTAACACTCTTTGAGGGAACATGAAATAAACAAGGAGGGTCTAGTTGGGACTGGACTAACCAATACTAAACAGAGAGGGGAGGACAGAGGGACATAAGAAACTACACAAGTAAACATGATGCAGTGACCCTAAAGCACCATTAGATGTAGCACACATCAAAATAATAGTAACTTAATACAGTTCAGTATAACAACAGAAAAAAATACAAATAGGTGGAACAGAGCACACAGAATGGAAATTTTTGATCATGTAGTTAGGAACTTCATTGCCTTATGTGGATTCCTGATTGCCAAATAATAACTAGACCTGGAGACGCCGAACATTTTTAACCCTGGTTATTTTGTTGCTGCACATGATTAGTGCATATATCTTGTTTAATTAGACCTGGAGACGCCGAACGGTTTTAATTTTGTGATTTTATTATGACTTGTTCACCATGTCTATGTCTAACCTCTTTATGATCCATGAGATGGAATAAAGTTTTTTTTTAATTATTAACAAATACTGTTATATTACTCTGCTTGGATTTTCAAATAACCACTCTGTGTGAGCAGTATTGCACTTGTCATACTGCTATTTTTTATGCAAAGTACTGTATCTCCCTAACATTAATAGTCCTATGTATCTTAGTGCAGATCCAATCACAAAAGCAGGAAATTACAGTACAGTACTGGGGGCATTCTATATACCAATGGTGTAGAGGACACCCCCGGTTTGTTCTGTGTGCTCTGTTCCACCTATTTGTATTTTTTTCTGTTGTTATACTAATTTTCAAATAACCACTCTCTGTGTGAGCAGTATTGCACTTGTCATACTGCTATTTTTTATGCTAAGTATCTTGGGTTTATAAATCCACACTTATTATAAGTGAGACAGAGATATGAACATGACACAGGTATACGTGTCATGGTAGGTGGCTTTTTCTTTTTTGTTAGATACAGTACTTCCCAAGGTTTGTATAATAAAACAATGTAGACACTGCAACTTTCCGTATAAGAATGTGAGGATTTGTTCAGGTGATTATCCTGAGTGTAGACTCTCCCATTCAGGATTCAGGAATAAGTCTGGAAAGGAAATAGCAAAATAAACAGCAATTTCTTCTGAACAGAACAGGGTAGAAATCTGCAACAATGTTTGGTAAAATTCATACAATGTACATAGATCACCCAGAGGAATAGTGCTTACATATACCAAGGACAATGGTCCCTACTTCATGAAACAGCACTGGAAAACTACTGCTAAAATAGTTATACACTAGTAGAATTTCATTCCAATTTTTTCCTTTTAAGGTGAGTTTGATTTTCTAATCATTAGTGGGGTCAAATTGACTTAGTCTTTGACTGCAGTGATGGGAAAATTTGAAGAAGCTGCAAGGAAAATATTTTTCAAGCTATTGAATGTTCAAAAAAATGTTTGCGCAAAACGTGTGAACATTCTTTCAAAACCTACTACTGTATAGCCAACTTTAAGGTAGATAATATAGGGATGGTCTTAAAGCCCAACTCTGGGTTCCTGCTTCCACCCCAAGTCCACTTGTGGTCCCCTCAGCAGTGTTTTATGCTTTCTAATTGTTTATACTTTCCTATTCAGGAAGTCTTTTGGCTGGTCACATTATGCACAGGGTCCTCTTACCCTTCCAATCTTCTCCAACAGTGGGAGGTTCTTCATGATGCAAAGATTGGTGACGACATCAGCCCTGGCCTCTGTACCATTACACTGTGAGTTCAGGGTGCCATCTGACTCCACCTGAACTTACAGTATTTCCTCAGTCTTCCAGGTTGAATGACGCTGGATGCAGTTCAAGCTCAAAGAGTGGAGAAATCGTGTTGCAGAGAAGAGGCACTGTGATTGGCATTGGCAGATAGTGTTTTCATTTTGTATCTTTTAGGTCACTTTGCACTAAAGCAAGGAAACATGAACTTCTGTAGTGTATTATTTGGTTTTTACTAAACAATAAAGCTGTACGCACACAGACTACTTACAGTAGTAGGAAGACAATACAAGACATACAACACATGCACATGCTACCTGACCTTCCTAGCGAATAAACAATGATCAATGCACAATAGAAATACACTTTTGTAACTTAGCTGGGTATATAGTGGTTTCACGATCTCTGTATGCAACCAAGGCTCCAGGTTCTACGCTACAAACTATTGCAAGAAATTGGCATCATCCCCAGCTGCAGTTTCTTCTTTTGTTTGTGTTTATGGAGCTCACTTCCTTCTTTGTTCTTCCTGGTGATAGGGAGTCGTCTACCATCTATCCAGGATCTGTTGCAAAACTCCTCCTTGCATGTTGGAGTCCTCCAAACTAGTGCTTTCTTTGTGTTCAGCACATGGCTGTCGTCAAGTCCTTTTTCTCCTCCCCTATTTCCTGACAACACTTCCTGTTTTACAAGTCTCCATAAGTCTAGTCAAACAAGTTGATTAATATATGAATAGATGAAGCCCATTTTTTTAAAAGCAATACATGGTAACTCAGGGCTCAACAAAACCCAAGTGCCAGGTTGACAGAATGAGCAGAAATGACATCCTGGTGCCTAGGCCAACCGCCAGCCCATTCACTGCTGGCACCAGGCGCAAGCAATTCCTGCTTTGATGCCCTCATATGTCAGAGGGCACCAATCAGAGACTCGCTTACCTACACCAGAGGGCAGGACGGCTATAGGGAAGGAGCAGGGTGCCAGGCCCAGCCATACCAAGCAGTCCATAGAAGAGAGCAGAGCATGGTGTGGTGACAATGACAGACCTGTAGGACAGGTTTAGGGTGGAGGGGTGTCCTGTGTCTTATGTAGCCTGATGGGGGGGGGGCTCTGTCTGCAGGAGGGAAGGTCATTGTTTGCATAGCCAGCACGCAGCTAATCTGACCGGACAGGGGTAACAGGTGATTTACTGGTCTTGGAAATGATAACATTTAGACTGGCAGATCCTCCAAAACACCCATCCCAGTAATAGAGCTCTGATCTGTAGTGTATGGGGGCACAGGCTACTAAGGCTACTTAAAATTATTGCAGAGGAAGGTGTCCAGTGATCACTGCTAATCACCAACTAATAATAATAAACTTATAGGAGATCTACTAACCAGGTACAGGCCAGAAACCTCTATCACTTTCTGGTCACATAATACCAGTTTTCCTCCATGCGTGAGCATGCTCCTGGCTAGCGAGATAATCAGAAAGCACATGCACAAGAGGCACGTCAAAGATCGGGGTATGGAAGATTATATTGAAGAGAGGAGTCCCTTCCGTATGAACATCCAAGATCTGCCACTTCCATCGCCCAAAACAAAGCCTTGCTAGTAAAAAAAATGGCTCCTAATTTTTTTAGCTGGTTCCTAGAACTAAATGTGTCAAGCCCTGTGGTAACCAACATGTTTTATTCTATATAGTTAGGCTATAAAAAAAATCACTAAAACAGCTATAGCAACACAGAAAGGAGGTGAGTATTGAAGCCTGGGCTGTTTTTTTTAATCAATACTGGCTGGACTCCTTTTCTATTTAAAAAGAATGCATAGATTTGGGATTTAAAGTAACTTTTGTCATCACCTAATAGAGAAAAAAAATTTTGATTCTTTGAATATAAACTACTGCCTGAAGATCCTTCTGCATAAGGCACACTTGTGCATGATCTCTCGCTGAACAATGTATTTCCATCTTCTGTCTTTGCTTTGTGTCCTTATGTCATCACTGAGTGCTGTAATGCCGTAGGGGTTGGCAGATGGAATCCAAAAGTACAGAGAGAGACACAGACATCCGACAAACCCAGAGGTGTATCAGATGCAAAAGAATCTTCAGGCAGCCTAATTTCTTTAATGCATCAAGAATCACTGACATAGGCAGCATGACAAGTAAATATAAAAAGCCCCCTTTTCTATGCTTTTTTTTAGTTTGTCCTTTTGTTAGGTGGTGACAGAATCACTTTAGGACAATCTCTGTCATTTCAACCTATAGTTGACTAATGCCATGTTTTGTATTCATTTAGGTAGAGACAGGGTCTTTTTACCAGTACTGACCTGTACATACCCCTTCTTTACTATGCCATTTTTTCAGTTTTTTGTGACACTGTACCTAATTGGATTTTAAAATTTTTCATGATAGAGTTTTCTCTTGGTGATATTTAATAAAAGTATTTTGTGACGTCTGTGCTGTGTAAATTTTTCTATCTGCTTTCTGATTCATCATTCACATAAATCTTTTATACTGGGATTTAATTTGATTATTTAATATTATTATTAATATAATTATTAAGGATTTGTATAGCACCATTAGTTTTTGCAGAACTTGTTAATTACAGGAAGACAGTACAGTTACAATACAGTTCAAATTCAGAAGGATAAGGAGGGACCCGCTCTGAAAGGGAGGGAGAGATGGTACAAGAGGTAATAGCTGTGGTGGATGAGCAGATGGAGGTGGTCAATGTACAGTTTTTAGGTGGAGAAAGGGTAGGTGTGAGTTTTCAGGGATCGCCTAGACGTGGACAGGATAAGAGATAAACTGACAAATTGGGGTAGGGAGTTCCAGAGGATCAGAGAGGTTCTGGAGAAGTTTTGGAGCTGAGCATTGGAGGAGGTGATGAGGAAGCCAGAGAGCAGGAGGTCTTGGGAGGAGTAGAGTGGAGGATTTGGGTGATATGTCAAGATGAGTTTGGTGATTAATAGCCAAGGGCGGACTGACAAATCATGGGGCCCCCGGGCAATAGGGGATCATGGGGCCCCTGTGTCCTATGAAAAAGGTACCAGGGGCATCTCATGGGCCCCCTACTGACCCTGGGCCCTCGGGCAGTGCCCAAGTTTCCAAATGGTCTGTCCGCCCCTGTTAATAGCTCAAAGAAACCCTTTAAGATTTTAATTTTTTCTTTAAATCTTAGTATATGTAAAAGGCAGCATGCATTGAGCTTCATCATTTCCAGCAGATGTGTTCCAGAGTTAACAGATTTCTGGCTGGAAAAATGAGGTGCTCATCAAGTAACTGGTTCTCCATTCATACAAATCAAGATTTCATTTCTAATTTTGCCTGCAGTGCACCTTTCATTTTCTTCAACACGGCAGACAGTCAGTGATGTTTTGGTGATTAAAATCCGAACTGAGGAGCCTGTTAGTGGATCATATTATTTAGTGACATTTGTAATTACAGTGGTGTTGACATGTGTAAAGACTGAAATTGTTTTGTGATGAAAGTGACCACTCATATGAGGATGTCAGAAGAAGGTCTTGTGTGATAGCTGTGCATGACTGATCCCCCAATATTGAAGGTAAAAGGAACATCCAGAGCAATAGTATTGCAGTAGGCACTGGAAGACAGCTAAACTAACTGAATACATGTGGATCTGTCAGCCTTCTAAGTACTAGAACAAAGGTATCAGCTTAGAGGATCTTCAGTGGTGCCCAAAAATGTAAAAGTCAGCAGGTAGAAATACTGTAGCTGATGACTTTTAATAGATGGACATTTACCTGTCCAGGGATCCAGTGCTGTCCTCACCCGGCCAGATTCTTCACTGGTTTTTGGGTCCCTTTACAATGGGAAGTTGGCTGTGAAGCTTTCTACTGCACGAGCCACGCTGCACTTTGTGAATTGTCCCGCAGTTTTCTGGGACCTGTAATGTGTCCCAGAAATCTGCGAGGAAAGAGAGGGGGGTCTAACTTCTACTCAAAGGAGGGGGGGAGGTGCAAAAGCAGAAATTCCCCTTTTGGGTGAAGATCTGCTTGTCTGCTTTAACTGATATTAATGCAGGGCTCATTTACATTTTTGCTTTTCCAACATACATGCTGCAATGCACTAAGATGCATGTGTCCAACTACCTCATAATAACAAGTGTTCCTATCTCAATGTTGCAGTATGTTTTGAAAAATAAGACATCTGTATTTTTTATGCACTTAAAGTGTAACTTCCCAGAAAATGATAAGGTGAACTAACATCCTACACCCTCAAGACCCTCCTCCCCCCAAGTCCCCGCTACACTTATCTCCAACAGATCAGAACAATTCTGATTGGTCAAAGTGGCCACGTGCAAGCACATGACCCATCAGAATTGCTCTGATCCAACCCAGAAGCCCTAAAGAAAGATGAAGAAGAAGAGTGGGGCTTTCAAATTCAGTGACAGCTCATCACCCATGGAGGCACTGTAAGTGCATTGTGGGTGGGGATGGTGTAGGATGTTAGTTCACCTTTTAATTTTTTGTGAAAAGATGAACGTTAAGTTCGTTGAGAGGCCAATACATGTCAATGGCAATGCATCAAAGCACATAATACATGCATTGTGTTGCGCTGGCAACGGGTGTTAACAAGCATTGGTCAGTGGCTCTTAACCCTATCTACTCCTAATTCTAAATTTAAAAATGAAAATGCTTGTCAATGTGCGTCAAAATATGTCACCGCCCAACAGCACATGACAATGCAACTGCCTTGTGCTACAAACAAATTTACCTATACGCACAGCCATACATCTAAGTGAGCCCTAAAGCTTGATTTTGCAATGTATTACCACACATGCATTGATGTGCAGTATATCGAATGTCATCATGCGTTATGATAAAGCAGCCCAATGCACTGCAACTGACATATGGACCTGCTTTTTTTTAAAGCAGTAAACCAAAATGCACAGAATGTTCACATCTGTGCATTACAGTGTGCTGGAAAGGTGTGTTGGGGTGTCTAAGGCTCAGTTCACACTAGCATTGAAAGCAGGTGTTTGAGGGGCGTTTGTAACGTCACGTCAGGTCAAAATTGATGCCTCATGTCCAGTCAGGAGGAGTTGAAGCCTTTCAACGTCTTGCATACAAGTCTATGGCGACGCTCCTCAAACGCTTGGCAGGTGTTTTGGGGGCATTTACGAGGCATTTGTGAGGCATTTGCAGGGCTTTAATACAATTAAGTTCATTATAGGCATTTGTGGTGTGGTTTTAACGCTTGTAAAACGCCTATAAAAGCCTCAAAACAGTGCATAGGGCATTTGAGGAGCATTTGTAACGCTTGTAAAATACCTGTCTAATGTCTGTCTAATGCTATAGGGCAGTGGTTCTCAACCTTTCTAATGCCGCGACCCTTTAATACAGTTCCTCATGTTATGGTGACCCCCCAACCATAAAATTATTTACCCAGTAATTATAATTCATGTAATGTCATTTTACCTCCGATATTGCTGCTTTCAACACAGTAGCTGCTCTCTACGCAGTAGCTGCTTTCTACACAGTAGCTGCTTTCTACACGGTAGCTGCTCTTTACACATTGCAAATATGTGTTTTCCCGATGGTCTTAGGCGACCCCTGTGAAAGGGTCGTTCGACCCCCAAAGGGGTCGCAACCCACAGGTTGAGAACCACTGCTATAGGGGCATTTGAGAAGAAGTCAAATGTGAACAAGCCCTCAGAAAATAATTGGCACAGCATTCAGTTTGCGCCTTACAGATCTGAATCCAGCCCAACACTTTCAGACCTTTTAGGGTTTTTTTTTTTTTTTTTTTGCCACGGTGAAACCATAAAGACTTTTTTTTCAACACTGCTAACAAATCAGTCCATACAATTATCAAACTGTCTTTTCATTAAATCATTGCCACTTTGACAACAACTTCTGGAGAGCCGTCAGTTTACAAAGCATGGAATTCATTCTCTTAAAGAGCTAGTTCACCCAAAACTGATATTTTATTTCTGGATATATGATGGGAAATCATCTACTATCTGATCCTTTGATGTGTCAAGGACTCAAGGCAAAAGGTCAGTTTGCAACCTTACCCACTTTCAACTGTGGAAGATCTCACTTTTACTGTTGGGTTCCCCACTTAATTTCTTGATGAATGAGGCAAAAAGTGTGCTATCCTTGCTAAGCTATGCAATAGCTTTATTGGAGTTAGAAGGTGCAAAACCAAGCAGAGATGGCTTGCCTGCTGGTGAGATTCGAAAAATCCATTCTGTTATTCAACCCAACAGTCACCAAAATCACTTGGATGGACTGACCCCATAGAAAGAGCAGCAAATAAAAAAAGGAATAGTACATGCGTTATATGCGGTATCGTCATGCATAATGCATAAGATGGTTTGAGAAGCTTGTATGAAGAATTGCAGTCTCAGAAGTGGTAGGAGCTGAATAAAGAACACAGCGTCTAAAGTCTGTTGTTAAGTAGGATCATTTGAACGGATTCAAATCCCTAGTACTTGAAGGAGATTAGGAGCTGCCAGAGACACCTGATCCTGCTGTGCAATGCTTGGAGATGGTGAAGAACAAGTTAATAACAGTTCTCAGTGATTCTTGTGATCAATTATGAGGGTCTTTGAAGGGTATTTGTAGAGTGGTGAAATTTCAAGGTAAGCAAGTCAAATAGGGCAAAAGGAATATTTTGTTTTACAAGATTTGCTCATCTTTGGTTGGATTAGTCTGGTTTATTACAGTAAAAATGGGCAGCATGGACCAGGCCTGGACAAATCTCGTATGGGTTTTGGCAGTTGCCTGAAAAGGTTAGGAGTCAGCAAACTATAGGTGGTCACTATGACACAATCTCATTTTACTGAAATATTTACACAAATTCACAAACACAAACTCAAGAGTGCATGTGTAAAAATATCAGTAAAAGAGACCCAGAAAATTCATGCTGTTCCCTGTTCTTTTTTTTCTTATAGACAGTACCGATATACACTCTCACATGCACACAGTACTTACCAGGGGCGGACTAACCATTTGGAAACTCGGGCACTGCCCGAGGGCCCGGGGTCAGTAGGGGGCCCCATGAGATGCCCCTGGTACCTTTTTCATAGGCTTTTTTGAGTTTGGGTAACTACACAGGGGCCCCATGATCCCCTATTGCCCGGGGGCCCCATGAGTTGTCAGTCCGCCCCTGGTACTTACCCATACACTCACAGTACTGGCAAAGGAACCAAACCTATGTTTGGCAGAACTTGAAAGGAAGCTTCCAGTGCCAGCCTAATAAGCTGTGGCCTGGGAATATTATGACCACATATTAGGTCAATGGTGTCACAAGTATCCCCACCTCCTTGCAGGGGCGGACTGACAACTCATGGGGCCCCTGGACAATAGAGGATCATGGGGCCCCTGTGTCCTTGCCCAATCTCAAAAAAAACCTATGAAAAAGGTACCAGGGGCATCTCATGGGGCCCCATACTGACCCTGGGCCCTCGGACAGTGCCCGAGTTTCCAAATGGTCAGTCTGCCCCTGCCTCCTTGTATATGTGCAACTGCAGGGCGAGGAATTCCCCAGTCATAACAGATTGGGCTGGTGCACACAGCTTCCTTAAGAGTTCAGACCAAACCTAAGCTCATTCCTAGTACTGACCATATGTTCTCTCACTCTCACACCACTGGCCACAAATGTTCTCTCATCCTCACAGTATTGGCCCAAATGTTCTCTCACAGTACTGACCCATATATTCTCTCACTCTTACAGTACTGACCTGTATATTCCCATACTCCAGTACTGACCCATCTGCTCTCAGTCCCAGAGCATTTATCTGTACGTTCTCTCACTCTCATAGTGCTGACCCATATGTTCTGTTGCCCTCACAGTACTGACCTATATATTTTTTATTCTCACAGTACTGACCCGTATGTTCTCTCACAGTACCAACCCATAAGTTCTCTCACTCTCACAGTACTGACCTATATGGTCTCTCACTCTCACAGTACCAACCTGTATGTTCTTTTACTCTCACAGTACCAACCCGTATGTTCTCTCCCTCTCACAGTACTGGCCTGTATGTTCTCTCACTCTTACATTACCGACCCGTATGTTCTCTCACTCTTACATTACCGACCCGTATGTTCTCTCACTCTCACAATAATGGCCTGAATGTTCTCTTACTCTCACATTATGTTCTCTCACTCTCTAAATACTGACCTATATGCTCTCTCCGTCTAACAGTACTGACCTCACTGTTCAATTGCTCTTACAGTACTGACCTCACTGTTCTCTCACTCTCACAGTACTGACCTCACTGTTCAATCGCTCTTACAGTACTGACCTCACTGTTCTCTCACTCTCACAGTACTGACCTCACTGTTCTCTCACTCTCACAGTACTGACCTCACTGTTCAATCGCTCTTACAGTACTGACCTCACTGTTCTCTCACTCTCACAGTACTGACCTCACTGTTCTCTCTCGCTCTCACAGTACTGACCTATAGTATATGCTCTCTCAATCTCACAGTATTCAATGAGTCATTGACCCATATGTTCTCTCCCTCTCACAGTACCAACTCATATGTTTTCTCACTCTTACAGTACTGACCCATATGTTTTCTCATTCCTACAGTACTGACCCATATGTTCTCTCCATTTTACAGTACCGACCCATATGTTTTCTCACTCCTACAGTACTGACCCATATGTTCTCTCCATTCTTACAGTACCAACCTACATGCTTTCTCAGTCTCACAGTACTAACCCATATGTTGTCTCACCCTCTTACAAAGACCAAAAACACAGCGAGGAAGGAACACTTGCAACTAATTGAAAGAAATCAGCAAAAATAAATCAGATAATAGCCCTCAAAACTTTTCCTTGGTCACTAGTCTCTGGTTTAATCACTGACCACTCCCAAATCAATAAATCTGTATTAATGAGTACTTTGGATCAAACATATCAATTTGTGCAAAAAATAACTGAAGAAAAATAAATCTATGGAGCTATGTCCCTAAGAAAGAGTGTTTGTCGGTACACAGTCTTTTTAAACCATGATAATGGTGAAAACCTGAAGACAACTTTGTGTCCCATATCCCAGGAGACTCATATACACTATATGACCAAAAGTTTGTGGACACCTGATAATCTCACATACTACAGTATATGGCAAAACTGATGTGACACCACCTCCTAATTATTGAATGCAGGTGTTTCCAATGAAGGTTCTTGTTAATGTTACAGCATACAAGAAAATATTAAACAGCTGTGTGCTTCCAACCTTGTAATGACAGTTTTAGGACGTGACTTTGCCCAAAAGTCAGATCCAAAATTATATGGTTTGTTGAGCTTGGTGTGGAAGAACCTGAGCTGTCTTCACAGAGCCTTGACCTCAATCCTATTGAAAATCTTTGGGATATACTCAAATGCCTATTTGTGTGCTAGACCTTCTCATTCAACATCAGTACTAGACCTCACAAGTGCTTTTTTTTACTAAATGGACCAAATTCCCACTGATGTGCTTTCCAGTGGAATCTGTTATAGCTCCAAAGTGTTATTCAGCTGTGTATCAATGCTCATGGTTTTGGAATGCCATATTTAATAAACTAGTATATTGTAAGTGTGATGGTCTTTGATCATATAGTGTATATGTATTTGCACTTAACATCAGAACTAGGGCATCTGCAATTTTGCAAATTAACAACAATATATAGAGAGCCTTGCTTAATCTCAAAAGCAAGACGGATGCGGCCAAACAGGCGGTGAAACAGGGGCGGACTGACCATTTGGAAACTCGGGCACTGCCCAAAGGCCCGGGGTCAGTAGGGGGCCCCATGAGATGCCCCTGGTACCTTTTTCATAGGCTTTTTTGAGTTTGGGCAAGGACACAAGGGCCCCATGATCCCCTATTGCCTGGGGGCCCCATGAGTTGTCAGTCCACCCCTGCAGTGAAAACACATATACACTATATCAATTTCCTGGGACATGGGACACAAAGTAATTTTGAGGTTTTTAACTTACATTACCATGGTATTTTACACAGTTGTGTACAACTAAACAGTCTTTCTATGGGACATAGTTTTAATATTTGTAAACAGGAGTTTTCCCCGTTTAGGGATTGTTCACATTGGCCACCCAGGAAAACGCTTTCCCGTGCAGGCTGGTGCTCATGCTGAACGGGTTTCAGGGGTGGTGCAGTGCATTTTTACAACACAAAGCACTGTTTACCATTTTTGCTTTTTTTTAACTTTATTGAAACAACACAGTGATTGCATTCATTTTATGCATCAAAGCTCAGTGCAGAAAAATGCTGCATCCGCAATAGTGTAAATGAGCCCTAATTAGTTTCCTAATGTTCAGTTATTTAGAAAATCCCATTTTTTCTAGGTAGCATCTATTGGCAGTTTAAGGCCTCATGCACACAGGGAATTTTTGCAGCCACTCTTAGGGGTATTAGGTGTTTTTTTTTTTACTGCTTCTGAATAGTCCCACATGTTATCCATGCACACATAGACTTTTAGAAGCTTTTAGTAGCAGTAGTGTTTACCAGCAGGAAAAAAACCCAGAGCCAGAGCGTTCAGAAGGAGCAGGACTTTGTCAGAAAAAATGCTTGGCGCATGTAAATGCATCTGAAAGCGTGTTAATGCTAGGCGCATTTAGCTATTGATAAATTATTATTCTGGCCAATGAAATGTATTAATGCCCAAGTGCTTGACTCCTGTAAATGCACCCAAACGTTTGTGTGTCAGGCGTTGTTTCTGCAAAAACACTGTTGTCAAGATGAGGATCATTTTTAAAATGTCCTGTGTGCATGAGGCCTAAAGAGTTGCAGTCATTGAGGAAACCCAGTTTCTACCATTCTCTATCTAGTGATGTTTGTCTGAACTAGTCAGTGAAACTGCATATAAAGTACTCAAATACCTGGTCACCTGGGAAATTTTATCCATTGCTATGGCAACCTGACAACTGGGATTTGTCCAGCCCTGGCATTGACAATCGTTGAAATCATTGGTATTGTCCAATACAAACAGAATATAACCTGCTGGGTAGACCTGTAACCTGAGAGTTCATAATCTGTTACATAGTTACATAGTTAGTGAGGTTGAATAAAGACACCAGTACATCCAGTTCAATCTGTGTGGATGTGTGTGTGTTCATGTCAAAAATCCTATCCTATATCTCTGTATATTGTGCTCACTAAGATGCCCATCTAAGAGTTTTTTAAACTATCAATACTATACTTCCTGCTGACACCAACAATTGTGGAAGAGAGTTTCACATCCTTACCGCCCTGACAGTCAAAACCCTCTATGCAGTTTAAGGTTAAGTTTTAAGGTTCTCCTCCAATTTCATTTGGAGTGGCCCCATGTCTTCTAATACTTCCTGAGACTGCAAAATTTATTCCTTATGCTATAATCACCATTGAGGTATTCATATATTGCTATCAGCTTAATGTTTGTAGTCATTCCTCATAACTGAGGTCCTCCAGCCCCCTTATCAACTTTGTTGCTCTTCTCTGAATTCACTCCAGTTCCAGCACATCCTTTCTGAGGACTGATGACCAGAACTGGACAGCATACTCCAGATGTGGCCGAACCAGAGTTCTATAAAGTTGAAGGATTATAGTTTTTTGTCTTGAGTAAATCCCCTTCTTTATGAATGTTAATATTCTGCTAGCCTTGCTTTCTGCAGCATGGCATTGCATGCCATTGCTGAGTCTGTCATCTATATCTTTTGGCACAGATGTCAATAAACATTGTTGTTTTATTGAGTTACTGTTCTGTTGTTACTGTTTTTAGCCGTGCTTGTTTTCTTTGCAGGAACACCATTCAGCTGCAGCACCAATCTGTTTATATTGACAGCAACACGGGTACTCTCAGAATATACGTCAGTATGTGCAGTGCTGCTGGATGAAATTTCTCATTCACAATTAAAAAAAAGAACATATATGCCCAAGAATGGGGGCCTGGGGTTGTCAGTGGGTGGATCGCTCCTATCTGTTAGTTTATTTTGTTAGGTTCATACATTTCATGCATGCCCAGCATTAGAAGTGGGTGGATGCAGGGTGGTATATTCTAATATTGGGCATGCCACACACTTTTACTGCTAGAGATTTCTTCTCTTTTTTTCATTCAACCCACAGGCTGCATATAAAAAAAAGAACATAACATATATGCCCAACAAGGAACAGCGACATACTGGTACATCATTGGACTTTGAGTGGTTATACCAGGAACACCAACCTGATATTGTTTATTTCACCTGGTGGTTGGCTTTCATGTAAAAACAATCCTAGTGGCTAATTAGCTGCAGGATTGCTTTTACAGGCAGCGGGAGGAGATGCCCCCCCCCCGCTGCCTTTTACAGCTTTCTTGGGCAGTTCAGTCCCATCGAAGAGCCTGAGAATGCAGACGACATTTCCGCCAGCTGACCATAGAGCTGACTGGAGACCGGAATGGCTCCAATCATCTCTAGTCCAAGAAACCGGAAGCAAAAGCAGTTGCACCATACATGTGAGGTATCGCCGTGAATGTTAGATCAAGGG